CGTTAGCCTGGATCGTACGAATAATGGGCAACGCCACCCGGGATGGGGCATCAGCTGAGAGGATGCTCACCACCGGGTCCTCCACCTCCACTATCTCCTCAGCATGTAGGTCCATATTCCATGCCACCCTACGCAACAAGTCTTGGTGGGCACGGCGGTCTATTGGAGGTGGGCCTGAGGCTGTTGTACCCGCCACCACCTCATCTGGGGAGGATGAGGAGGACACCTCAGGGGGTAAAGGATCCAGATGAGGGTCCGGCTCTAAGGGTCCCTGATGTGCAGGATCCCCTGCACCGGGATCTGGGGCCTGCGTGGGTGTCGGCACTGGAACCTCCATACCCCCTGGGGGAGGACGGGAGATGGTGGCCTCAGGTACCCTGGGCTCAGAGTGTGCCGAGCGAGAGGCCGCTGGTGGAGCCCCTTGAGCTTGGTGATATGCCCATGGGGTCCAGAAAGACCAATGTGCAGGGTCCTGTCTAGGGTCCTCTGCCCCTTCCTGCCAATGACCCAAGTCATCTGCAGCCTGACCCTGAGCAGGGTATGCTGATCGGGAAGCCCCTTCTGACGAGCGAGACGCCGATCTTGAGGGCCAGGATGGTGCCGAGCGTGATTGCAGGGGCTCGTCCTGGTATGGTGCCGAGCGGTGCCGGTCCACAGGCGAGCGGTCTCTGTGCGGTGCCAGTGAGCGGTACCAAGATCGAGAACGGTGCCGATGGCCATGCCGGTACCGGGATCCAGATCTGGATTGCGAAGACGAAGACCGTCTGTAGACTCGGTGCCGGGAGCGGCCTCGCGAACGGGAGCGGTGCTCATACCGTTGCCGGGAACTGCATCTGGACTCCGACCAGTACCGATGCTCAGGTCGATGGCGAGAAGTAGACCGGTGCCGGGAGGAAGATCTGGGCCGCGAGTACGACCGGCGCCGAGATGAAGATCGGTGCCGGGACTGCGAGCGGCGTTGGGACCTGCTCCGAGACCGGGATCGGTGCCGCGAGTCCACGCTCGGAGATGGAAGGCGTATCAGGGCAGGCTTGCCCCTGGATTGCACCGTGCGAAGGGGATGCAGTGCCGCGGGCTGAGACGGCGCCGGCTCCGTGAGGGCGATAAGTTCTTTCGCCGTTGCAAAGTCTCTGGCGTAGAAGGGAGACAGGGCTCAACCACAGGACGAGGCGGTGAGCCAGTCCGCACCGGACTCAATGGCCCTACACCCGGTGCCGGAGTCAACGGTGTTGACGATGCCTGCCCCCTCTGGCGCTCCGAAGCCGGACGTGGCTCTACCACCGGTGCGGGGGGAGCCGGTGCCTGTTGGACGGCAGCATCCTGGGTCTTGCGGGGTCTTTTATGTCCCGGAGACAGGGAACGGTGCCGAGGGGCTTGCGGCGGATGTGGTGCTGAGGGAGGACAGTGCTGTGGGGCCTTATCCACGTCTGCTTGCGGTGCAGTACCGGAGGGTGCTGCTGGGACGCTACGCACCAAGGCGCTCGGTGCCGGAACTTGGCGCGCTGAAGGGAGATCTGGGCTAAGTGCCGCCTCCATAAGGAGCTTCTTAAGTCTAAAGTCTCGCTCCTTTTTGGTCCTGGGCCTGAAAGCCTTGCAGATCTTACACTTGTCCATCTGGTGAGACTCCCCTAAACATTTCAGACAAGAGTCGTGAGGGTCTCCCGTTGGCATAGGCTTAGCACAGGTCGTGCACAGCTTAAAGCCAGAAGCCTTGGGCATGAGCCCGGCTGCGCGCTGGGGTGAAAAGGGGGGATAATAGCCTCCTTAATCCCCGCTAACTATTTATAACTACTCTACAACTATTAACAACAAACTACTAATCTAAAAGTATATAACCAACAACTATCTACAAGAATGAACAAGTAAAGCTAGGGAGAGTGGAGAACAGCTATGCTGCGCTCCACAGTTCCAACGACCGTCACCGGCGGTAAGAAGGAACTTAGGGGGCGCTGAGTCGGCTGGGGTATATATCCAGCGCCATGAAGGCGCCACTCTAGGGGGCTCCACAGCCAACCCACCGGGTGTTGCTAGGATAGAAAATTTTCCGACGATCGTGCATGCAGCGCGCGCACACCTAATTGGAATCGATATGAGCAAGCACTCGAAGAAGAACTGTCAACTCCAAAACTAATCTCATTTTGTCTAATTACACAGTGACTGTGCCTAACTGCTTGCTTCTCTTTGGGTTTGAGGGAGATCCAAAGTGAGCTTTTAAAAAAATATTGTTTGCTTAAAATGTTACAACAGATGGAAAAGGAAATATTATAGAAACCAGAATTGATTTTTCCTCCTTTTAGCTGGTGAAACTACTGAAATAAATGAGTTAAACTGTCATAAAACTGGAGTAACACAGTAATGAATTATGCTGTAAAAGGCTTCTTAGTTCACGAAGGATCTTTTTGAAAGATTCTACTGACTTCAATGGGCTTTGGATCAGGCCCTTCTTACCCCGCCAGTTCAGGGTTGTTCCATAAAGTACGATATACTTTCCAGTACTCTGTCAAGTTCAGTTTCAAATAACTCTAGCAATTGGCTTCCACTCCAATTTTAAAATTACTCTACTATGAGAAGTAGTGCAGTAATTAAGTATATCGTTATGTAACTATAGCAAACAATTCTATCTTTTCTATTTTCTAATTTTCCACCGAATGATGAATGAATGTCTACAAAATTGGGGGGGGGGGCAGGAGGGGGGAAGGTTATATACATTTCTCACAGCAAATGTGCATGGTGAGTAAAAGCTGAACCACCCTACCCTTCAATATTTCTTCATATTTATAGTGTTTGTTTTTTTGGCTCTATGCAAAATATTCAGACATGGTACCTTTTAAAGATAAAACATGCTGTAATCTATACTTCCAGATATATACATAATGAAACCAGATCTCTTTAAGAATTTTCTCTCATCACATTTGTCTCATTGCCCATGTAAATAGAGTACTCTCTACCCTCTATGCAATAATTTAAAATGTAATATATTTAAACAAACATTTACTATCCATCTTATTGTCCCTGGATTTCAGGTTATGGTCCACAACACAATACAGAAATTACTTATTTTCTTCAATCCAGCAACAGTTTCTTACCGAGATCCTAACTCATACAGTTTCACTAAAGTATTTCTGCACAAATTCAATCACCACTAATGTTTATTTATTTATTTAGGAAGCTTTAATAAGTTTACAAAATTTTGTCATGTAAATATCACAAACATAACACTTATTACATGTTAGCTTTTGTTTAAAGAGACAGGAATATAGTAATCAGATCTTTCTGTTTCATAGGATATTATCATATTACAGAGTGAGCGTCATTACAACACCTATAGTATATCATTACTAGAGATTTTATTAAATTGAGTGAAATCTCTATATATACACACATATTTAACTGACCAGGCATGTCTATCAAATATTAATATTCAAAACAACTGGATAGGTGTACTGATTTTTTTGAAGGCGAATGTACTTTTTTTGAGTATTGAATAAAAGGTAATCAAATATCTAGTATCTATTTGTCCTACGTCTATTTTGCTGGATACATCATTGGTATGTTAATTTTTTTCCATAACCCCTCCTTTTTTTTTTTAAACCTATGAGCTATTTTTCTTTTTCCAATGAGAGGCTACCAATAGCTGACCAGCTACTAAAGATCAATTCTTCATTTCCTCCTGGGTGATCATTCACCACTAAAGTTTTACGAACATTTAACCTTGATAGATGCCACACTTGACAGTTACAGATATTGGGCTTTCCTGCAGTCTTTACTTAAGCAAAACTTCCATTGACTTTACTGATTCAAATGTCAGTATCACATCAGTAATCAAAGAGATCATGAAACAGAATTACCCTTTCTAATTAATTATCAATTAATAATTACTATTAGATGCATGTTTGTTGCCATATAAAAAGCTACAAAAATAAGACTACTTAATTAATTGTATTTATTCAATTAACATATAATTAAAGATACTATTAGATGAAAATGTAACAGAGACATCTAATAAATACCAAAGATAGATGGACTAGATAAATAAATTTTGAGCCCTAATATTTACCTTGTCCACATGCTCGAGTAACAAAGAAAGCAACTATACAGTAAGCTTATTAGGAACCCTGTGGGGTGTGTTTATTGAAACATGCTTATGTGAATTTATCAAAAGTAGTTATATGACAGATTCATCTACTGAGAGTTGAAACAAAGGCAATCTATTGTACTGTTTTATTAGGTTTTTTTTTTAACTTTTCTTTTTATCTTCTGTTTTAGTACTAAGAACCTGGTTATTAAATTCAATTATAGGCTTCTCCCACAATATTACAGGATACCCAGAGTTCTCATAACTCCCAAGCCCTTATATTTGACTTCTGTCTTGTCTATACCTTTGTTCTAAGTGGATGCAACTGCACAACAAGGTTTGCAAAAGCCTTTGTATGTGTGAAGAACAGGGCTGAATTTAGACTGTTTTACAGAAATAATTCTATCATAAATGCATGTATTACACTTTTATACTTTTGCAGTTGGGACTACAGTATATTTGGAAAAAAGATATGTAGCTAGGGCTTTAGATCCTAAAGCATCAGGCCCTAAGTAAGATCTACAGGATCCAGCCCACAGTGAATCACCACATTCTGTGATAATGGTTTCTTTTCTCCTTTTTGTATCTCTATTAATGTAACATTTGTCTAGTCATCCTTCTGAGGGGCAATATCTGCTGTGTAAAATGATCCTGGGAAAGTACAGTTTGCAAAGTATTCCTCTGAAGTCTTGCCAAAGAACCATAATGTATAAAAATAGCACAATTCTTCTTATTTATTTGTATTACAAATACAATACAAATAAATATGGGACCAACTTCATTGTGCAAAATGCACAGCCCCTGCCTTGAAGACATAACAATCTAAGCATGCAATTGGTGAAGTCCTGAGCCCACTGATGTCAAGGGCAAAACTTCCACTGACTTTAACAGAGTTGGGATTTCACAACACTCTCTCTCTCTCTCTCTCTCTCTCTCTCTCTCTCTAAATCTCAAGGTGGGATTTTCAAAGGAGCCTATGGGAATTAGGGGCCCAAAATCCCATTTAAAAAAAAAACCAATGGAATTCCATCCCCTAAATCCTTTAGGCTACTTTGAAAATATAATAAGCCTTAAGAATTAGAGTCCAATAATATGGCTTAAATTCACCTATTATCATAACTCATCAAAATAAATATATATTTGTAGGGCCAATTCCTAAATCACCATTTTGTTTTACCAGGGTTGTTGTTTGGCCTCCATGTTGGTACCCCTTCTTGTTTGTGAAGATGGTGCCCTTTTTCAAACTAAGGTGGGAATTAATCATGTAACAGGTGTAATCTGCCCAGAAACAGGAAGTTATATAGGGACTAAGCGCACAGCACTCCAGACTGTCTGCCCCCATGGCGGCCCAGTACCTAGTAAGTGAACCAAGCTGAGACGTCAAGTCAAGATCAGAAGCAGCGTTCCCTCTAAGCTGTGTGCCTGCATGGCCGCACAATAGTGTTTATCTTGGTAGATTCAGTCAAATAAACTTTTGTCAGAATGTCAGGGTTTCATTATGTTTTTGATAGGAATAAATAAAAAATAATTTGAATTTTGCTCCATGTACACTGGACTGGTGCTGACACCTCTCTTCGTGCTGAGAAACCAGGACAGAGGAGGACACGTAGTCATGTCAGTTGCAATGTGGCGTGCAGTTGCTACTCTCTTGATTTTTACCCAGTTTTCGGTAAGATTGTTAGAATTTATACTTGTAATATACGTGTGTTTTGCTGATAAAAGTACATTTATGCAATAACCTTATAAGATTTTCGGTTCAATTTAACAATGTTGCGGTTCAATTTAACAATTAAATGTTCCAAGTTGTTTCTCTCACATCAAACATATAAACAAATACTATTGGTAAAGTCTTGCCTACCGTAATTGAGTAAAATGTCAGAGTTTAATGTAGAATTTTAAAAATTATTATTGATTTTAATTATTTTTGTGGAGATTCTATTTATTAACAAAAGCATATCCTTTTAACAGACATGTTTAAAAGAAGGCAAACAACATCACCCATCAAAGGGGCAAATCCTAAGAAGAAATGCTGCCTCATGTTCAAAGGAGAGTGGCTGGATGAAATAGTGGAAACAGAATCTCAACAATCTAGAGGCAAGATTCGTGTACAAGTGAAGGAAATATTCCAATTGGGCTGATGTGGGCTTGATCTGCAAAATCTGTGCTAGAGCTAGAATATCCAGTGATTTCTCTACAGGCAAGAAATGTGAAGATGGATGGAAGTTGGACTACATGAAGAGGCATTTATTAAGCAAAGGTCATGAATCTGCTGCACATATTCTTAGAAGCATAAATTCTCACCCACTGGGATTTGATTTGTGAAGTATTCTATTAGAAACCACTAGTAACAGACAGAAGAGACTGATGTTCAAAGCCAGAAGAAATAAAATTTCTCATAGACAATGTTCTGCTTGCAGTACAAATGAACAGCTCCATGAACTCTGTGCAAAATATAAATGATCACATGGCAAAGTATCTGCATGAACCAACAAGATGGCGTAGCAAAAACTACTCTTCAGAGTTTTTGGAATCGATCAATAGTGTTGTCCTCACAAAAATCATGTCAGAGATTCGCCTGTCTTCCTATCATACACTTACTATTGAACAAAGCACAGATATTTCTGTTAAGTTCAGAGATGCAGCATCTCCAGTGTTTGGTGGATTTCTACATTCTCAATAAGCTGGACATGATGAAAAAGGTGATGTTCATGTCTGATGGTGCTTCTGTCATGCTAGGAAAAAACAATGGTGTTGCCACACAACTCAAGGAGTGCATTCCACATTTAATAGAACAACACTGTGTGGCCCATTGAGAAAATCTGGGGTTAGTCGATGTGTGGAACAAAGTACCAATGATGAAGAAAACCGAGACACATCTATACAGTCTTCTGCAGATCCGCAGTCCAAAGAGGACAATTTGAGGAAATGGCAAATGTCACAGAAAATGAGACTATCATTTAAACCTCTAAATGAAGTGAGGTGGCTATCTAGACATTTCGCGGAAAGTGCTTTGATGCACAATTAAGAGACCCTTCTTAGATACTTTGAACGTGAAATCTCATATAATGACCCGATAGCAAAAGTACCGCCTAAAGAAGCTTTTTGACACTAATTACCGTATCACTCTACCTGCATTAAATGATGTTTTATATGAATTAGCAGAACTGACCAAATGCTTTCAGAAGAGATCTTTAACAGTTGAAGCTGTACAGTTAGCAAAGGCCCAGATCCACAAGATGAGAGGATGCTATCTAGGAGAAACAAACAGTCTCTTGGAGCAACAGTGTGAAAAATCTAATTGCATCAAGCACAAGAGATGAACAATTCAGCAGTTAATCTATTCTAAGTTTCATCTCTCTACTGTGTGATCATCTGAATAAAAGGTTTCTAGAAAAGGAACTAAATGAATAGGCAGCTTTTGATTTTGCCTCATTTTCATCACAGCAAATCAGTTATGAATTTGGCATTGAAAACATTAGCAAGCTAGTTGACCAATACAGAAAAATTTTGGACCTTAGTCAAGTGAAGTCATCTGCCCAAAACACCATGGAAAAAAAGGAGTCCATTGTGAACGAGTACAATGTTTACAAATACATAACTGCAGAGAAACATGAAGCAAAGTTGATGATAAATTTCCAGAAAATGGTGACTTTCAGTCAACAAAATGCAGAATAATACAGTGTAGTTTCACAACTGGTGGATATATGTGCAACCTTTCAAGTTTCCAGTGCTGACCATGAGCGTGGCTTTAGCCATATGAATAATATCAGAACTAAATCATGAAACAGCTTGAAATAAAATCACCTGGATATGCCAATGAGGATCAAATTTCATACTTCAAGTGGTGAAGAAGTAAACCTTGACACTTTATATAAACACTGGAAGAGAAAATGTTCATAGCCAGCAGCAAGTGTCTGCCCCATCATCTAATTTGATAACTACTGGTCTGGGGTCTCACTCCAGTGACAAGTGATCTCCTAAATCAAGAAAATAAAATAATTTCGTTCAGGTGTCACAAAAAAAAAGGAAAACACACACACACACACACAAAGATAAAAAACTGTTTTCATGTCAAGCCAAGAGATATCTTTAATTTCAAGCATAAAGTGTAAACTTTATTTTATTTCATGCATCAATACTAATGATAAAATATTTGTTTCCTATATCAAGAAAATGGATAATTTTGTTTTATGCCTCAAAATGAATAGATACATGTAAGATTCTAAAAGGCAACTGAAATTTTTGCAATGTTTATTTAATATGAAATCAAATAAAAATAAAATTAACATCTTAAGCAGTGCACTTTGTTAATTATCCCTTGTTTTAATATTCTCTCTTCTTCCTCCATACCTATGATAACTTTTTTAAAATATATGTTATATCTAGGTTTTTTGTTTCTACTGGTGGTGCACATCCGCACATTACCTCCATTTTGGTGCACATAACAAAATTCATTCTGCACTTAAGATGGAAAAAATTAGAGGGGACATTGACCAGAAGAGAAGACCAGAAAACCTACTTACCTGTTGTTCCTGATCGCTCCCGATTTCCTGCGCTGTTCCTGTGCATTCCCAAGTTCCTGTCTCCTGTGTTGTGTTCCTGAGTCCTTGCGTGATACTGTCTCGTTCCTTGTTCGTCAATGACATGGTGATGTATTAATTGTCTTGATTTATTGTATACTTACCAACCACCTGTATTGTTTGGAGTCCTTGGCTTCAATCCTATTTGTCTGTTAACATCTGAGTGCTTTATTGCTTGTTCACTGTTATTGGTTGTGGGGTCCTTTGTTTAATAAACCTTGTTCTGTTTGTACCTTTATATTTGCCTCCTAGTACTTTAAGAGTCATTATTACTTTTGGTGATAGATACGGGGCGGGAGGGGGGGGAGGGGAGGGGATGGGGACTCTGTACTGGAAGGGAGTTTAAGGGCAAATACTAGCTCCCTATGTTATTGACCCGCTAGAGGGTTTGTGTTGTAATAGTGACCTGCCTAGCTGGTTAACATATTCACCTTATCTTTTCACGTAATTAAACATATTTATAGCTCAACTGATAAAAGATGTCCTCCATTTACATAGAATTGCCATTTCTATGTAAAATATATGAAATAAATATTCAAAACACAAGTTTTTAAAATTGTCCATATATAAAGTAAAGAACAAAAAATTAAAAATGCTATGTTGGATTATTTCTTCTGCAATTTAATTTTTAAGATGGTAAAGGTCCAAGAACCAGTTCCTATGATTCATTCTGCTAAAATCTGACCAAGCCACTGTACTTTGTTCCAAAAATTAAAGTAAAGAAAAAACTAAATGGAAACCATTAGACTGATTAAATGCTACAGCATGAGACAGCCAAAAGAACCTACAGAGAGTCCCCCATTTTAAATTATTTCGATATTATGGGCCTCAATTCTGAAGCTGGATCCAATTACCTTTGACTTCACTGGTGCTCTGTGTGGTACTAAGACCTGCTTGTGTGGGTTCAATTACTGGATTGGGGCCATAGCTAGCCATAATTGGTTATGGGTGAATGCATAAAATTGTCTCTCCCTAGAAAACATGTACAAATTGTATCTCTCCTTCCTGAAGCAATTCATGTAGGAAGTAGCTTTTATTTGTAAGACTTGAGAAATGACCTAGGAAACAAAAAGTAAAGAACCTGAATTAAATAGAAAGGCATTTTTACTGGACCTGGGTGAATGATTTGTAATTAATAATTTATCCAACTAACTCAAATTTGTTTTCTAATCACAGAATATTCAAAAAAGATTGAGATTTTCTCCTGTTTACTCATTATTGGAAATCATTCAGTAATTTTTTTTTTTTAGTACAACAAAAGGATTGGTTGCAAAGCATCTTCCTAGAGCACTGAGTACTTTACATTTATTATTTGAATTATGGTGTTTAGTTTGATCAGATTAGCAATATCATATGGTAGTGCTTCTGTTCCTTGCAGCTCCCACATGAGCATTTTCACCTTCAGCTTTGCAAAATCAGGCCTAAGTGATTTGCCTCATTGGAAGTCTGCGGTAGAACTGGTATGTAACACAGATAAGACCCAAAACTCTTAATTTCCAGTCCTGTACTCCAACCACTAGAAAAAAGCTTCCTCTTCTATGTGAGCATAATTGGAAGTCTAATGCTAATAAGACCCTTTTCTTGATAGAATGGATATAGTGGGAGGTTATACCCACTGAGACCCTAATTCAGCAAACTACTTAAACATATGCCTAACTTTAAGCACCTGAATAATGTCTTCAACAGAAAAAATGAGGGAGCACATCACTGGGATTAAGGCACTATCCTAAGAGGTGGGAGACAGGATATGAAAAGGGGTCTTTTTCCTCCATCAGGCAGAGGAGGAAATTGAACCCAGATCTCCCACATCCTGAGTAAGTACTCTAACCACTAGGTTAAAAATTATAAGGGAGGTGGCACCATCACCATGAGTCAGATTTTGAATGGGCCCTGATCTGATAGGTGCCTATCAAATCAGGCCCCACATAGGCAAGATAGATGGGGGAATGCCTGTATTCTCCTGATTTGCAGATGATGTAGGGCAGTGGCAGAGTTAGAGTTGTTATGGTGCGGTGCGTGGTTGCTGGTGAGAATATGCTTAAGGTTGGCGGGTTGTCTGTGGGTGAGGACTGGCCTGCCTCCCAAGGTCTGTGAAAGTGAGGGATCATTGTCCAGGATGGGTTGTAGATCACTGATGATGCGTTGGAGAGGTTTAAGCTGAGGACTGTAGGTAATGGCCAGTGGAGTTCTGTTGGTTTCTTTTTGGGGCCTGTCTTGTAGCAGGAGGCTTCTGGATACACGTCTGGCTCTGTTGATTTGTTTCTCTATTTCCTTGTGTGGGTATCGTAGTTTTGAGAATGCTTGGTGAAGATCTTGTAGGTGTTGGTCTCTGCGTGAGGGGTTGGAGCAGATGCGGTTGTACCTCAGCGCTTGGCTGTAGACGATGGATTGTGTGGTGTGTCCGGGGTGGAAGCTGGAGGCATGAAGGTAGGCGTAGCGGTCGGTGGGTTTTCGGTATAGAGTGGTGTTAACGTGGCCATCGCTTATTTGTACTGTGGTGTCTAGGAAGTGGACCTCCCGTGTAGATTGGTCCAGGCAGAGGTGGATGGTGGGGTGGAAGCTGTTGAAATCATGCTGGAATTCTACCAGGGTCTCCTTCCCATGGGTCCAGATGATGAAGATGTCATCAATGTAGCATAGATAGAGAAGGGGCGTGAGTGGACGAGAGCTGAGGAAGCGTTGTTCCAGGTCAGCCATAAAAATGTTGGCATATTGTGGGGACATGCGGGTGCCCATGGCAGTGCCACTGGTCT